CACACACATTACAGACAGTAGCTCGTCCATCACACGCGCACATCCCACGCGCACAGAATCATTCAGCGCGGAAATGTATTGTCAACACTGTTCTGTGATTTCTTAATAAAAGAGCTTAGAAACTGAAAAGTTCAAGCATTTATTTCTTAATAACTAAATTCCACAGCTTCACTACTAGTAGAAAGACGCTGCCAGGTAGAATTAATTCACACACGCAATCGCTCTCACTAATGCATTCATATTAATGTAATCTTTACTGTGCTACTTTATCTGTATCTGATTTAGAATGAGCAGAAATATGTGAGAAATATAACGACCCAAATACAAAAGAACTGATAAAAAAGCTGTTATAGGAGCAATAGCCGTGTGGGCAGCGCTGTGTCATATGCCATAGCTGTGCACAAGGTGTTTGTCACAGCTCCAGACTTATTTGTTCATTAATGACGTCATCAGCGACTAGTCCACTTCGACTCGACTTTCATCACATAAAAGTCGACTTCAAAAAATCAGAAGTCGTTCAACCCCTAATGCAAATACACACATACTTAACACTACCACATATTCAAAGACTCCAGATGGGAGTAATGCACCACAAAGCAAGACAAGGCCTGTGATCTGTGAGTGACTGACACATATACAACTTTAGACACACACATTCTCCCATGATGCTTCATATACGCCATGTTCTTCAAAATATCAAAGCCTCAAAAAGATACAAATAAAATAGCTTCTTCTACAAGACTGAAATGACTGGAGTCTTCATCTCATGTGAATGTACATGATTTTTAATACACTTTTCAAAGGATTGATTTTTGTGGATTTTTTATTGGAATATTTTTGTATTTTTTTTATGTGATATTTACCTGGATGTTGTGGACTAGGTGGCTCCACAGGTACGTTAACAGTGACAGGTGTGTTGTCGGAGACGACCACCATTGGCTTGGTGATGGTCTTGGTGTTCCTCATCATGAGAAGGATGCTGTCCACACTGAGGGAAGTGCAGGCTTCATCTGGTAGCATACACTACAAAGAGAGAAGCACCACAATCCTCAAAGGACATCATGAACCTCACTCATGAGATAAAAGAGCTTACTATAATCAACAGGCTTAAAACTGCACTTCCTTTATTATGAGGAGAGGCCAGATTTTGGAGTCTGTTGCAATTTGGCAAACAAAAAACAGATATTCTGCATGTATAAATGGGGTGTTAATGAGGGTTAATGCATATATATATATATATATATATATTAGACTTGTGCCGGTTTTCGGTAATGCGATATATCACGGTAATGAATATGCACGATATTGTTATCGTGGGCTCTTCTAAATACCGTGAATAATTATATATTACAAGTTATTCAGAATTTTGAATGCATTTTAAGAATACTTTTCCCATCAACTGGTCAAAATGCACAACACTGCTGTATGCTGCGTGAAAGATGCGTGCGCACTGACGTAAATAAGCGCGGACGAGAAGCACATGGCGGAACATGTGAGAGACGCTCTGGATGAAAGCGCACTTTCACTCTCTGACAGCAGATGGCGCTAAACTGCAGAAATAATAATAATAATAATAATAATAATTCATTTAAATGAAACCCTGTAAACAAAGCAGCTGCTCTACTTTCTGTTTCTGAAT